TTGCTGCTTTACCACTAGTTTTGGGAGGCATGTTGAACGTATGAGGATGAAGTTCAAAGTGACAGTCATTGGCGTTGATTCACTATTTATAGCGAACGATATGCTAATGAAGGATTCTAAACCAAGCGCGCCAAAACCAAACGAACGCAAGAGAAAACACAGTTTTTTAGGGTTTTTTTCATTCAAAGTGTTCATTGTCATTGTTGAGGCGCTGACTGAATGCTATTCATCTCTATCCTCAATTCTGATTGGAAGTATATATTTGCAATCGGAATCCGGGTCGGGTGTATAAAAACAGCCAGTGAGATACCCGCAGTATCATTCTCGTCCTAGTTCGAGCCGAATAGTTAACATACAATCATGTCTGGTCGTGGAAAAGGTGGTAAGGCAAAGGGCAAGTCCAAGACTCGTTCATCCCGTGCTGGTCTCCAGTTCCCAGTAGGTCGCGTACACCGATTCTTAAGAAAAGGCAATTATGCCGAGCGTGTTGGTGCCGGCGCTCCTGTATATTTGGCTGCAGTACTCGAGTACTTGGCCGCGGAAATACTGGAGTTGGCCGGTAACGCCGCTCGTGACAACAAGAAGTCCAGGATCATTCCACGTCACTTACAGCTTGACATACATACATACTATAATACGGTAATTCTCTTTTTGGAGGATGTGGTGGCCCTGAAAAGGGCCGTTTGGTTTGGGTTTATATTCTACGTTTATCCACCAAAACCGTACAATGTACGACCCTGGCGTTTTAGTGCGTAGACGACATCCATGGCGGTGACGGTCTTTCTTTTGGCGTGCTCTGTGTAGGTGACGGCGTCACGGATGACATTCTCTAAGAACACCTTCAATACACCCCGAGTTTCTTCGTAGATGAGACCGGAGATACGTTTGACACCACCACGACGTGCAAGACGTCGGATAGCTGGCTTGGTGATACCTTGAATATTATCGCGAAGAACTTTACGATGACGCTTGGCGCCTCCCTTTCCAAGACCCTTGCCTCCTTTGCCACGACCAGACATGTTTGATGAGTTCAGTGTATAGAAGTCAACTGCCTAAATTGATCAAATCTCTCGCACTTTATAGTCT